CAAAATCAATAGGGGTCATCTACTAATCATGACTAACCACCATGCCTAATATGAAGACTGTGGGTCGTAGGAATCTTAAGTTATTGGCGGACAAGCTTTTTAAAGTCAAGGCCCCTGTGACCTTGACCTTTGACCTGATGACCTCAAAATCAATAGGGGTCATCTACTAATCATGACTAACCACCATGCCTGATATGAAGACTGTGGGTCATAGGAATCTTAAGTTATTGGGCGGACAAGAAAAAACCGACGGACGGACGGACAAGCTGATTCCAGTATACCCCCCTTACAACTTTGTTGTGCGGGGGTATAAAAAAATACTAAAGAGAATTTCATTCAAAACAAGATATGTTTGTAAAACATGTATGCCCCCTATCAGCAGCCAATTAGTCATGTGAAAAGGTTATTATGCATGACTTCTGACCCAGTGATCAAACAATTAATAAGGGTTATCAAGTATCTACTGGTCATGACCTTAACCTTTGACCCCTTGACCAAAAACTCAATAGGGGTCATCTGCTGGTCACGACCAATCATCATACAAAGTTTGAAGTTCCTAGGCCTAAGCGTTTTTAGTTAATTGATCAGAAACCGTTTTAACATACAAGGTCAATGTGACCTTGACCTTTGACCCCTTGACCCCAAAATCAATAGGTAATCTGCTTGTCATGACCAATCACCATACCATGTTTGAAGTTCCTAGGCCAAAGGGTTCTTAAGTTATTGATTTGAAAGCATTTTTACCTACAAGGTCAATGTGACCTTGCCCTTTGACCCTTAACCCCAATATCAATAGGGGTCATCTACTGGTCATGACCAATCACCATACCAAGTTTGAAGTTCCTAGGCCTAAGGGGTTCTTTAGTTATTGATCAGAAACTGTTTTTACCTAAGAGGTTAATGTGACCTTGACCTTTGACCCCAAAATCAATAGGGGTCATCTACTGTTCATGACCAATCACAATATCAAGTTTGAAGTCCCTAGGCCTAAGGGTTCTTTCGTTATTGATCGGAAACCGTTTTTACCTACAAAGTCAATGTGACCTTGACCTTTGACCCCTTAACCCCAAAATCAATAGGGGTCATCTGCTGGTCATGACCAATCACCATACCAAGTTTGAAGTTCCTAGGCAAAAGGGTTCTTTCGTTATTGATCGGAAATCGTTTTTACCTACAAGGTCAATGTGACCTTGACCTTTGACCCCTTAACCCCAAAATCAATAGGGGTCATCTGCTGGTCATGACCAATCACCATACCAAGTTTAAGTTCCTAGGCCTAATGGTTCTTTTGTTAATGATCAGAAACCGTTTTTACCCAAAAGGTCAATGTGACCTTGACCTTTGACCCCTTGACCCCAAAATCAATAGGGGTCATCTACTGATCATGACCAATCACTATACCAAGTTTGAAGTTCCTAAGCCTTAAAGTTCTTTAGTTATTGATCAGAAACCGTTATTGCTTACTAGGTCATTGTGACCTTGACCTTTGACCCCTTGACCCCAAAATCAATAGGGGTCATCTACTGATCATGACCAATCACCATACCAAGTTTGAAGCTCCTAGGCCTTAAAGTTCTTAAGTTATTGATTGGAAACCGTTTTTGCTTACAAGGTCAATGTGACCTTGACCTTTAACCCATTGACCCCAAAATCAATAGGGATCATCTACTGATCATGACCAATCACCATACCAAGTTTGAAGTTCCTAGGCCTTAAGGTTCTTTAGTTATTGATCGGAAACCGTTTTTGCTTACAAGGTCAATGTGACCTTGACCTTTGACCCTTTGACCCCAAAATCAATAGGGGTCATCTACTGGTCATGACCAATCACCTTACTAAGTTTGAAGTTCCTAGGCCTTAAGGTTCTTTAGTTATTGATCGGAAACCGTTTTTGCTTACAAGGTCAATGTGACCTTGACCTTTGACCCCTTGACCCCAAAATCAATAGGGATCATCTACTGATCATGACCAATCACCATACCAAGTTTGAAGTTCCTAGGCCTAAGGGTTCTTTAGTTATCACTCGGAAACCATTTGGTCTACGGACCGACGGACCGACAAGTGCAAAGCAATATACCCCCTTTTCTTCGAAATGGGGGCATAATAAATCATTCTGAACTTGAAGGAACTCCGCCTAAAAAAATTGAATTTCTTACATTAACATAGATCAGCTAGGCCTCTTCAAACAGAAAGAGATGCAAAAGAAAATCAAGAAATACTTTTAAATATATATTTAAAATGGTATTTTTGTGCTATTCTAAACATGATTTGAGTAAAATACATTGCAACGTTCTTGTTTTTATATTGGGTCATTTTTTCACAATAAGAATAACTATTCTGGGTAAACAAAGTAAGCCAATGATCTGAAATTTTGCATACATTGTTTTATTGGTCTAGACCTACATCAAATGGAATATTATTCTCGAAAAATTATTTCCAGTCCCATCATGTCATAAAATCTTGGTGCAGTCCCTTTAATATGTCAATTTTATGAAAAATGTGTTCAACATGAATTGAAAAGCAGACATGGACATACCCGCCACTGCTAATATATTGACATCATCCTTCATATGTTTACCATCAGCTTCTAGTGTAGTCCATGCTAGTGCATAAAATGACTGAAAATACATTCAAATTTATAAGCCATAAAATTTTGAAAATGACAGGTGATGAAGAAATGCATAAATATTCATAATTTATAAAGTGATGAAAAATGTACATATATTCATAATTACATTAATTAATACAACATTTTCATGTTTCATGCAAAATAAGGCTCAATTTCCTTGTTTTTGATACTTTTTTGTTTGTTTTGTTTCTAATAAGCCACAAAATGTACAGTCCATAATTATATTGATTCTTTAAAAACATTTTCATTATAAGGATACAGTTACGCGATAACTATTTGCACCCGATTAATATTTGCCTCATCACTGGAGGACAATGGAGCGAAAAAACAAGTTTCAGGGATTTTTTTGGTTTATTTTATAGCCGATATTGGGTCATATTCCCAATTGAAAATAGTATATTATTTTCCCAATTTACAGGAAAAAATTCCCAATTGAAAGTCAAATGATAAAAATATTGAATAAAAATTCTAAAATCTTTTGCAAATAAGGGCTTCTCCACTGTAATAGTGCTTAGAGGTTTCAAGATGCCATCCTAGACAGTAATTGTTTGCATTCATTTAATCACTGCAAAATTTCTGTCATGCATTTTTTCCCAATTTTTAACAAAACACCGCTGAAATTCCAAATTCCATTGGTATGGGTCATGTTCCCAAAATCCTGGAAAAAATCCCTGAGTTTGTGTCTTTAGCATTTCGCAAAATAAACGGTGAAAAAATTTTCTTTTACAATGACATTGTTGATACAAAGATAAATAACTGAATATTCATCAACACCTGTGACAACATTATGAATCAATATAACATTGTCATAAAGTATTGAAAAAATTTGGTTATTAAGGTAGTCTTACTCTAATGCTTTCCCCGCCAAAAAAATTCTAACATTGGCAAATATCGTAGCAATTCGGTTATTTCCAGAATGGTTTTTTTCTTTCAAAATTTTGGGCATTAAATTATTAACAATCACTCATCTTTTGTCATTATATACTAAAATCCCAGTTATAAATGGTTAAAAATGATTTAATACCGCGATTGTGAAAATAACATTCCAAATGGCCGATTTATTACGATATTGGCAGATGTTAGAATTTTTTGGCGGGAAAGCATTATCGTAAGACTACCTTAAGTAAACAAATAGACTTTGAAGGTACTTGATAACCCTTGAAAATCTGCAAGTATCAGAGCAACAGATAAGCTTTAAAAGTGAATTGGGTATTACTCCATCATTTCCTTTGGAATTGGGTATTGGCTCCATTTAATTGGGTATTCCAAAACTCGATACCCTATGATTTCAAGATCAATTGGGTATTCAATTATGAAGATATGAATTTTATGGTTTCAATATCAATAAAATTAAACTGTTTTATAAAGAAAATATGATAAACAATTTACTAGAACTTTTCACAATTGTTTTATATAAAATGCTCATGTTATATTTAATAATATTTTTAACATGATTTTTGATTATTTACGACTGTTTTGTTTCAAATCATTTCCCCTTTTGTAAGACGCCATATTGCCTTCAAAGCGTCTATTGATACAGCTGGGACCTACTTAATGACGGTCTCCGCCGGTCTGTTAAGACCGTCGACCTGAGTAGACAAATAGACGGTCTCATGCTTAATTGATATGGCTTAGTCGGTCTTTGGAGACCGGGACCGTCGAAGACCGGAGACCGTTGATTAGTTAGCATTGATTCGGGAATATTCGGATAGCATGCATATCGATATAATTTGTCCAAAACTACGAGCGAACGACAGATTAATTTTGCGGTGGTGAAAATGACAATACGCACAGGTTTTTAAGACAATTGCGTATTTTATTTTTTTCAATGGGTTTTGATACGCATTCTTAAAAAATCAATTGCGTATTTTATAAAATTAATTGCGTAAATACGCACCTTATCTGTTGCTCTGAGTATTTTTTTTTGAAATCTAAAAAATGTGGATATTAATTGATCATGAGTAAGTTGAGTCTTGATAAACTTTTACTCATGAATATTAACTAAAACTTGGTTAAACTAAGTGCACATTTGGAAATGAGCTTTTCTCACTTCTAAACAAAAGTTTACACCATTTAATTGTAAATATATATACAGATTTTATACCTCTGATTTACTGCAGTCTTTGTATCTTTTCATCACTTTACCAGTCTGACAGTCAGTGAAACAAATATTCTTCCCTCCACATGTTGCCAGGATATTGGTTGTCTCCCCTGTAATTAAAATATCATATAGAGGATGAACATGTAATAGCAAGGGTTCCAGGGGTACGAGGATTTCATCATGAGGTTATAATAAGGTTGCAGAAGTCAAAAGGTACTCAACTTACCTGGACTTCCAATCAATGGCTCAAATGCACAGTTCCAAATCTTTGTGATTCCATCAGATGGGTTGTTTCCATTTGAATGACAACGTATAAATAATGAAGGTTCATAATCGGGTAAACCTTTCTGTGAAGAAAAAAAGAAGAAAATAAACTAGTGTATTTTTCGTAATAAGAGTCCTGCATGTGATGTTAAACAGCATCTGTCACAGTAAACCCCTATCAATAACCAATTTTACAGATATTCTAAGTTAAACAGGGACATAACTCCTAAAAACATAGCTTTCAGGATAATGCCCATTGTCTTACAACTACAGCATGTCATGATAAGCAGGTATTCCAAGTTTTGTGTTGATACCTTTTGTAATGTTTGACTAATGGGCTACTTTTAAAATTTTGCATGACAATGACAACAACTAGATAGTGGTCATAATAGCTTGACTTTTTCTTTGAAACAGACAAGCAATTTTTGACTGACCCTTATCCTGCAGATTTTCTGTTTTTGCTTTATCCAAATTTAAAATGAGATCACAAATCATTATTTTTAAAGGTGTTTAAATTAAAACTAGGGCTGGGAACAAATAAGGAATTTGATGTTTGAATATTTGTTTTCCATATTCGAATATTTCTTTTTGTAGTATACATATCCGAAATGAATTGCGTCAAATGCTAGACAACTTTAATATGCTTGGAATAATGGACTATTAAAAATACCTTTATTACTACATAAAAGTTTTTTTTATCTTATACATTGTAAATCGACATATAAGTTTACTTTTGAAATAAATTCATAATTTGATTGCCTTTTGTTCAGTTAATCCGACTGCTGATCATTTGTCTTATTAACGGGAGGTAACTCACATGACTTGACCGACAGTAATATGAATCATCGTAGCCTACTAGCAACAACGCATAATTATATTGAAACTTAACTTGTATTTAATATTTCTTTTTTATTTATTTATAATTTTAGATAAGGTTTAAAATATTTTCAGATAAATTTAGATATAACGCAGTAAATATCACACAGAGTCTAATTTCTACAGAAAAAAATATATTCTGACGGAATATAGACACTTACCATGCTTTCATAAAGCACCGTTTAATGCGTTTGGATTTTTTCGTCTTCACAAAATTTAAGACAATTATTGATGAATCGGAAAGATCATAGCTAATAAGATAATTAAAATCAGAAAGAATTACATTATAAACTGTTAAACAGGTAAATTGCTTACTGTGAAACGGGTGCCCTTTTGATCAATTAGACCCCAAAGTTTTCACAGTTAATTAGCAATAATTGTTGACACGCGTCATACAACATGTGAACACCTGGTCAAGTAAAGGTCAATGGTTCAATTTACGATCTTAATTGAAATTTGAAAGTAATAACAAAAAAAAAACATTTTTTTTTCCGAATATTCCTATCCGTTTTTCAATGTTCGAATATTCGGTAGTGTTTCGAATATTTGGTAGTGTTTCGAATATTCGAATATAATTCCCAGCCCTAATTAAAACTAGGGTTCTTTTCTTGGCTTCAATGGCGTAGCTCTATTCTGGAAGAATTGCCATTCTTAACCCTTAACTCAAATAACTTACTAATACAATTATGCTTCAGTAAAATATAATCTTTCTTACAAATTTTATGGAAATTCCCTAGCAGCCATTTTTTTAAAGTCTGAAACCAGGTCGTGAAACCGTGACATGTAAGTCAAAGATATGCTCAACTTATAAGTAACATATAAGTAACTTATAAGTAAAATATAAGTGACTTATTTGTTACATATAAGTGACTTAATATAAGTCACTTATAAGTAACATATAAGTCACATGTAAGTCACATATATGTTGCTTGATGTCAAAAAAGCTAGCTACCACAATAATTATAAGTTATGAGTATGCAACCATATCAAAGAAACTAAATTTATTATTCTGAAGAAAAACTAAGCACAATAAAAAATTACATAATGTACACTTCCATTTTAAAAACACTGGATTAACAATTATACATGATATTATATTAGAGCATGTAAAGACATGCAAAAAATTCCAATACACCTTATCATTACCCATTCTTACCAATAATTTTGAGCCTTGTATACTTTTTCGCAGCTTTGTAAAATCAGGTGTCCCTTTAGTGTTATCCTTTTTCCTTTTAGCTATCGGTAAAAACTCTTCACAGCTGTCAGGAGTGGTCTCCCTTTTCCTTTTCTGTGTAGTAGACTTTACTGGGCTTGAGACTGGTGAACTTTCTCGCTTGCGTTTAATAGGTGATGATTTGACTGGTGACGTGTTGGGACTGTCTTCTCTTTTTCTCTTCTTACTGGATCTCTGTTTCTGTGTGACGGCTGTTTCAGTATCAGAGATTGGTTCTTCTGTATTGCTTTAAAAGTAAGAGTTCAAATTTATTTCTAGATACATGTATGCAAAGTTAAATTATTTCTAGTCGTAACCCTTATTTTTTATCCAATGATTATGCCTTAATTTGAAAATTTCTATCAGTAAATTACTAGAATCACTCCTATGCCACTATTTTTGAGCTGTTGATTATTTTTTCTTCTCATTAGCATCTAACTTTTTACACAGACTGGTCAATTAAATAATCAAATCCAAAGTGAAATGAAAAAGGCCACCACTTGTTTCGTAATTTCACGAGTTGCAAGACTCTCAAACCAAGCTTTATTGACAGAACACAAAAAAGGCCTCAAACCAAAATTCTGATATTATTATTTATAACAAGTCTTAATCACAAACAAACAAACAAAAAAACAAAAACATTTTCAAAATCCAACCTGTAGTGCTTAACAGGTGTTACTCCTTTGGCAATTCTGGTCCCGTAATGAGATGGTGTGTTTTGACCATCCAAAGACTTTGTGCTTCTCCTTTTAGATTTAACTTTTCCTTGATTCACATCCGAAATCAATTTACGACAAAGGTGACTTATCTGTAATTAAGGATTCTTTCTTAGTAATATTAAGCTGAATAAAATATCAACCAAAAAAAACCCAATAAAACCCACAAAGCATACCAAATAATAATAATAATAAAACAGTTTAAAATTGCACTTTCCAGTAATCTCAATTAGCAAAAAAACCCTGAGAATGCCAAGGCCTGTGGGGTGTTTAATAACTAGACAAAATGCGCTGTAGTTTCCAGATTCAGCCTTTACTGACCAACAATCATATATAGAGTAAACAACAAATAACAATGTTAAGTCGAAAGTGACGTTAACAGTATTAAAGCGTGGACCGTCACATTATGTAAGGCGCTATAAATGACATTATCAATTCCTGACAGCCATACCAATTTAAATAAGTCTATAATTTAAACAGAATCAAATTTCAATTTATTGAAACACTAGGAACATATTTATACTCATACCATAAAATTTCTAAATTTAACCATGGTTAGATTACTGCCTACAATGTTTCCCTGGTTGATGGTATTAACAAACTCCTCATGTAGACTCTCCATCTCTTCCTTGTTTACCCCATTACTGTACACCTCCGAGAACCTGGCCTCCCATACAGCCTCAATCTGAAACATTGACAGATGTTTGCAACAATGTAACTGTTCATGTATATATACTTAGATGTGAAAACAATTGAGCTGCGTCACGACAAAACCAACATAATGCATTTGCGACCAGCATGGATCCTGACCAGCATGCGTATCCGCGCAGTTTCAGTTTCTCTACTTGTCATAGGGTTTGTAAGCGGCATGGATCCTGATCAGACTTCGGGGATGCGCAGGCTGGTCTGGATCCATGTTGGTCGCAAACGCACTATGTTGGTTTTGTCGTGATGCGGCTCAATTATGTATATAATTATATATAAATTACTATATTTATATACCCATTATATGTATATATGTACACTTACATGTAATCAATTATATATATATATATACAATTAAAATCAATTAATAATAGCTCTGTTTTCATTAATTTTATTCGATGGTACACAATAGTCTTCTTTTATCTAACTGACATCTCTTTCCTTTTTTCTTGCAAACTTTCTCAGAGAACTTTTCTGAAGTACCTTTAGTAGATAATGTCCTATCACTTACACTGTGATTAATGTAAACTGACCTGTGGCTGCAGCTGATCAGTGTAAAGAGAAATCCCTTTATCTATATGTTTTATATCCTCGGCCCCATCTATACCTCTTAGAGAGGGACATAATACCTTGGCCGTGTAATAATCCTCTATCTGTAAAAAAAAAAAATAATATCCAATTGATTTCTATATTATCAAACACATCAGCTTTTTAACAGTATCTGTCTAAATCTATAGTGATACTCTTGAATTTGAACCAAGGACTGACAGTTTTTTGAGTGGGGGAAACAATGAATATCCTCAAATACTTTGACAGCAAAAACATTATCAGTACAAATATGGAAACAGCAGACTTTAGTTTAAATTAAGTCCAATAGAATCAGACAGGATTTTTTATTTATTTCAAAAGACAAGTTGAACTTTAATCTTAAACATCGATCTCATTTCATGTTAAACTTAAGGCATTAAATGATTTGAAGTGCATGAATCACAACTTTTTACTATATCAACCAATCAAATAAACTTCTTCTTGAAAATAACCAATCAAATTCATTTTTACTTACCTTAATAGCATCATTATCCCCTAGGTAGAGTTGTTGCAGATTGTCAAACTGTCTTACAAAATCAACTGAGTCTAACTGGTTATAAGACAGGTCCAGTGTCTGCAATGATGGAAGGTGAAGATCACTTGGTATACTAGTCAGACAATTCTGTGATAAATCGAGAGTCTGTAAGCCTTTTAACTGATTGAACACTTCGGAATCAATTCTGCCTATGTTACGTTCTGACAAACTGAAAATTGAGAAATCCGTGCAAACAATAACAATATGATCAGACAAAGATGTATACATACTAACTTGACATTTGTTTTGCATTTATTTACATACACGATTTATACATAACCTTAAACAGGAAACACAAGCCTTGTTTTCAGTTTTGATTCATTTTAAACTGATTATGAGAATTCTAGCGGTCTATTGCATTGGCAAAGTTTTATCTTGAAACTCATGCACAAATGCAGGGCGAATAGCATAGCATTCAGGATGAGTAGAAATTTCCTGCAGGACCAGTGGCTCTGAAGTTTTTTCTTGATCCCTACCTGTGCATCCATACAAATATCAAACGTGAAACAGAAAACGGTGCAGACATACAATATTTCACTAGCAAAAAAGCAGTGTAACAGATCAATTTTACTTGTCAAAAACAGCATAAATTTTCATTTTTCATTTTTTTTCGTTGGATTTTATGTTTTTTTGAGTGGGAATTTTTACCTCTGGTAGGGGGAATATCATACTATTTTCATATCATAATTTTGGTGGGTGACTGTGGCTGATATATTCTGCCACAGATTTGGTAGATCAAGGGCCCTGACTGCTTTAGAACAAAGAACAAGGGTGCCATAGTCACAAAATACGCCCGTTTACGAAAGCTTTAGATGGAGATGGGGGCATTATGGATAAGTGTTATCTAGCAAGCAAGTTTTTATTCTTGGCACTGTGTTGTTAAATGAACCTTAAAACAAATCAGTAGGGAGGATATGCACAGGATGTGTGACCTTGACCTTGGTTGCAGGGACCTGAATTTTTATGCACGGCACTCAGCCTCACAATGATGAACATTTGTGCCAAATTATATTGAAATCCCTCTATGCATGTAGAAGTTTTGCTCCAGACAAGCGTTTTTCTATGAGCTCTAACTGTGACCTTCACCTTTGACCTAGAGACTTGGTTCATGTGCAGGGCACTACGTCACATGGTGGTGAACAATTCTATAAAGTAACATTAAAATTCCTCCATGCATGTAGAAAATATGCTCCGGACAACATCTGGATATTTAATCATCTCCAGTGACCTTGACCTTGCAAATATTAACCTTAATTAAATGTGTCACACCTGTAGTCATGATAGTTACCATTTGTGCTACAATCCATCAATAAATGATGACTAAATGGTCCCTATACACATCTTCATATTTTTATCTGAACTTTGACCTCTATGTGTAACCTTGACTTTGTCGCAGGGATCTGAATTTTGCGTGCGACAGTCAGCCTCACAATGGTGAACATTTGTGCCAAGTTATATTGAAATCCCCCTATGAATGTAGAAGTTTTGCTCCGGACAAGCGTTTTTCAATGAGCTCTAAGTGTGACCATGACCTTTGACCTGGAGACCTGGATCATACATGGAGAAATACATATCATGGTGGTGAACATTTCCATAAAGTATTATAAAAATTCTTCCATACATGTAGAAAATATGCTCCAGACAAAATCTGGATATTTCAACATCTTTAGTGACCTTGACCTTGCATATATTGACCTAAAGTACATGTGTCACAGCCGTAGTCATGATAATGACCATTTGTGTTACAATCCCTCAATAAATGATGATTAAATCGTCCCTATACACATCTTCATATTTTTATCTAAACTTTGACCTCTATGTGTGACCTTGACCTTGGCTGCAGGGACCTGAATTTTGTGCACGACACTCAGCCTCACAATGGTGAACATTTATGCCAAGTTATATTGAAATCCCTCTATGCATGTGGAAGTTTTGCTCCGGACAAGCATTTTTCAATGAGCTCTAAGTGTGACCTTGATCTTTGACCTAGTTCATGTGCGTGACATGGCTTCTCATAATGGTAAACATTTCTATGAAATTTCATTAAAATCCCTCCATGCGTGTAGGAGATATGCTCCGGACAAAATCTGGATATTTCATCATCTTTAGTGACCTTGACCTTGTATATATTGACCTAAATTATATGTATCACAGCCATAGTCTTGATAATGACCATTTGTGTTACAATACCTCAATAAATGATGACTAAATGGTCCATATACACATCTTCATATTTTTACCTGAACTTTGACCTCTATGTGTGATCTTGACCTTGGCCGCAAGGACCTGAATCTTGCGCGCGACACTCCGCCTCACAATGGTGAACATTTGTGCCAAGTCATATTGAAATCCCTCTATACATGTGGAAGTTTTGCTCCGGACAAGCATTCAGGGTTCTCGGGAACGCTTATTTCGGCGTCCCGGTACGCATGTTTATTACAGCTGGACGCAAATGTTTCAGAGCAAGGATTCCATGTACGCTTAATTTTGCCTGGGGACGCATAAACATTACCGATTGTTCACAACCACAAATGCATCAGCGCGTGTCAGTCTATAGGTAGGCGGTCCTATGCACATCGACCCGTGAAGCGATTGGCCAATCAGCGATAACGATTCCTATCATAATCACGCAATAGTGATCAGACTAATGTATACACGCGCTGTACAGTACATGTAATTACCAGATATAACACGAGGTGATAATTTTATATCTTTGATCAACAGTTGATTGGAAATTAGCAAATTTTACCGACAAAAGGATAAAATTATCGACTGTTTAAAGACTGTTTTCTCAAATTACAAATGAGGGCAATTTTGAATGATTTTCGAATATTTTCGGCATTATAATGATTGTCGAATATTTTCGCATTTTCTAGGCACAATTTTGCTTTAGTTTCATTCTTGCAAAAACTTTCTATAAGAGTATTAAGAATTTAAGATATTGTGCCGAAATGCCAGGTACACAAAATGCTAATGAATTGTTCCTTTATTATTTAATCAACATTAAATCTTAAAATATGGATCTTCAATTTGTCCCCTTTTGAAGATATTTGCTAAAACAATTGTCGATCGGATGAATCTCTTACACACTTTGTGAAGCTGTACACGATTTTCCTATTCATTCCGCTAAACGCTGCCTATATACATTTAAGTTTTTTTTACAAATACAAACTTTTTGTCTTGAGAGTGGACTTTTTTAACCAGAATAAAATTTGATTTGGTATAAAAGTGAAAAAAATAAAAAACGATTTCCATGTGTTGATGCATTATAATGAAATAATTTCATAATAAATATTAACAACAAAACAATAATTATACTATGTAGTTCAGAGTTTCTTTTGAATAACTATAAACTTTGGAAGTCTCTTGAAGATTCAAATATCAGCAATGCTATTGTGAGCATTGAATGACTAATCTGTAATTTGTAAACATATTAATTGCGACGCGCTTTTGGACTCCAACTTTTTCAGGGTTGGGAGTCCATGGACTCCATGTTTGAAAGTCCTAGTGAGAACCCTGAGCATTTTTCAATGAGCTCTAAGTGTGACCTTGACCTTTGACCTAGAGGCCTGGTTCATGTGCGCGACACTGCTCCTCATAGTGGTGAACATTTCTATGAAGTTTCATTAAAATCCCTCCATACATGTAGGAGATATGCTCCGGACAAAATTGGACACCGCCCGCCCGACCGACCGCCCGCCTGCCCGTTCCCATAATACGTCCCGTTTTTCAAACGGGTGTATAAAAACTAATAGAAAAATATGTTCACCTCACTACCTGTTCACCGGCCTCCAATATTTGCAGGTCTGTGGACTGGAAAATTAGAGGGGTACTGTTTACATATGCACCTGTTACAATTGAAGATTGGGGAGAGAAAGTGGGATTATGGGTCTTCAGGTCTTTATTTATTGAAAGATGAAATTTTGTGGATTTGTTAAAAAATCAGATATCCATCAGGCAAAATGGACAGTTTCAGTTTCTTCCTTTCATCGCTAGTTATCACTACCAAAATCTTCTAATTTTGCAGAGCCAGTGTAGAAAAATGCAGTTCTTGGTTGGACCATGGAGATTAATAAGATAATTTAAGGCAATTATCGCCAAAAAGAAAACAATTCTAATAACAAAACAATCGGTCATTTCTTTGCAATCAAAACCCTGAGATTTTAAAAAACTTGAAATAAAGTTTCGACTTAAAAGAGAAATTGCAAATTAACAAAATGTATCTATCATTATAGTCATTTTATTCCTTTTTCCTTGGATTTTTTATTGTAATATACAATACGACGGCAATGTAAACATTAATTAACAGATATTGCCAAAGTTTAACGAGAGCTCGAAAATCGGAGACTAGCAGAAGAATCCAATAATTACTGAGGCGCGCAAAGGATTGTGGGTATGGATCGGGCAGTTGTTATTTTTCAGGAGTGAGACTAAAAAAAAGATTGGAGCACCACACTAAATACCGTATTCCGGTATATACCAGACAAGGCGCTTGAATGATAAAATGCTAAAATCTTGTCTTTTTACCCAACGGAATGAACTTTAACAGGTCTAATTCATCTTTTCACACCGATTTAAGTACGATAATGAAGGAAAAATGTAAAAATCGGCGAAAAAAAACGATATTTGTCTATTTTGTTATCATGATTTCTGCAAGCGTCTAGAGGTACTGCTCCAATCCTGTATTGAGTTAAATCCATTTTTCAGTGTCCTGCCCAGTGTATATATGGCTGTGGTTCGACTTGGAAAAACACCTCTCAAATTGAAAATATATCTTTATCATTGTGGCAAAAATTATGGCAAAAATTATGTCTCTTGGACAAGTTGGACTACTATTTCAGTGTATTTCTGACACATTTTATCATTTTCATTTATTAGATTTGAGCTCAATCGGGCTAAATTAGCCCGAATGAGCGAATTTAGTCCGATTGGGAGATGTGCCCAGTCTGCTACTCAGCTTGCTACCGTACTGCCTACTGGCCAAGAAAAAGTAAAAATATATCAAATCAACGTCGTATTTATAGGACTGTATATATAGCTATACAGTTATACACCTACTCTAGGTTCCCTATATTCTGCATCGAGTGTGATTTCCCAAGCTTCAAGATATCTTCTTGTGTCGGAGGCCCCTTCATGGTAATTAAATGGAATGAAACAACTAAAATAAGTAAAAACAACAAAAAATATTTAAAAACCTAATCCCGCGAATTCAACCGGCGCGCGTTATAAATACAAGCTATGAGTAATGCAAACGCAAACAGCACGTTTCGGCCCCAAACCAAATGGTAGACAGACGTTTCACTATTGAGACGGTTCACACCAAGACGGTTCACACCAAGACGTTTCACTCCCAAATGGGAGTGAAACGTCTTGAAGACGTTTCACTCCCTTTTTATACCAAAATTTTTCTAAGACTTATGATATACTTAAAATAAATAGACCTTAAATTTAATAAAACTGAATTACGGAAGGGAATTTCACTTATTAACTCAGTACTTAAGTTTGTATATAATAATTGTTATCCCTGTTTATAATATTTATTATCGTACATGTGGAACAGGTAAGAATGCATTATTTTTGTTATCATAATTTTTTTTTAAATAGTAAATAAATTATATTTCATAGACAAAATTCTGAAATTTTCAACCCAGTATTATGTTGTATATATGTAGACATTCTGCAAATTTTCTAAAATAAAAATATTTTATTTATATATAGCGGATTAAACATTATTTTAATTTGTTATATAAAAAAACTTATAAATTCGAGAAGTTTCTGTTTCCAAGACTTTTGTTTTAATTGGATGTTATCTAAAAACTACTTTAATGGTCCAATAAACAACTGATTAGTAAACTGTTGATGCTAAAGTGCAGTGTTTATACAACTGATTTAATGGTGATGTCAAACTGTTAGTTTTTGGTCTCAGTGTTCATACCACTAATTAGGTTTTGTTTGTTTGTATCATTTTACGCCTTTTTCCAACAGTATTTCAGTCATATAGGCGGGTAGTTTCCTAACCATCGTTCCTGGAGAGTTACACCAGTACTAGACTACCTTCCTCCGCACTAAACTACCAAAGCATCTCCCGGGGATCGAACCCGCGCCACAGAGGTAACTGGATTAGAAGCCATTGACTCTAACCCCTCGACCACGGAGGCGGTCTAACTAATTAGATGATGAGATTACTGTTAACACCACAATTACCTACATTTGTTTAATGGCTACTGTTTAATAATTGATTAAGAAATAATTCAAAAGAATAATTCATTTTATACACATGACATCTTTTGCATATCATTGTTTAAGACCTACATGAAATAACAAATATTTTAATTTTGGTAAAAATAATTGATATCAATTTAAAGACATTATTTCCATGTGGCTTATTTTTTATGAAAGTACTAATGAATATATTATTCTCAAGGATGAGCATAGTATTGTTTATATTATAGTTTATATAAGTATGAATTCCTTTTTAACAATTGTGTGTTTTATTTTGAATAACCAACCATATCTTTTATCAACACCTATTAAACCATTTTTCAATGCAATAAAAATATTTAAAAAATGTATATTACAGAATTTTTATTGCTTATCTACAACAGAAAAACATACATCAATATAAATAATCAATCCTGACATGGCTTTTAAAAATGGAAATAAATTTGTTAACTTTCCTAAAAAATATCTAAAAAAAATGGGAGTGAAACGTCCATACAATTGACAAATTGGGAGTGAAACGTCTAGGTGTGAACCGTCTTGGGAGTGAAACGTCTCAATAGTGAAATGTCTTGGGAGTGAAACGTCTGACATTCAAACCAAATCGGCCCCAGTGGAAAAATCGGCCCCTGGACGTTTCGGCCCTTTTCCGCGATACGTTTCGGCCCTACTATATAGTACAGACAATTAATTGAATTAATTAACAACAATTAATTTAATTACAATTAAACAATTATGACACTTTAATTCTTTAAATAATTATTTATTATCTTTTGATCTCTTGAACCATTTAGATATACGTTAATACTTTTAAAGGTGTAACAAACAATAAAGGCAGGTTAATCCTTAATTTATAAAACAAACCACCAAAACTTCTTGATTATGAAAGTTAATTACAATTATTCCTTAGAAAACATTATATTTTTTATCTTAATTAAACTATAGGCCTACGTATTTTTTTCAAGGTGTTACTAATTAACTGTTTATAGCTTTATGTAAGTAATATCAGAGAAAACTTCAAAAGATTTTTAAAAAAACGGTTTGCTATAATCTCCTGATATGACCAGTACAGAGATGTAGATAACATCCGTGGCGGACAGAAGATACTGATTATGACTCGTTATTTTTAGTCCAAGTTTAAAGAAGAACAGAACAGAACAGAACATATCGTTTATTAGATTTTAGATTTAAACATAGTTTATCATCTATACATGCATTACATTGAATATAAAGGTCATGTCAAATAAATATTAAAATTAATATGAATATAAATATTATTTACGTAAATGAAGGTATGTGTTGACAAGCAAATTAATTAACTCATTAAACAGTCGGCAATAAATTTAAATATAGAGTTTATGAAAAGTCATTTTGTCGTAGCATATTTTCTCGAATTTTAAGTGCACATTTGATGAACATCACCAAATTTGTCATTGTCTTAAAAAAAATGTGATTCACAGATCTGCTTAAACATACTAATTGGTCGAAGTGTAAAATATTCATTAATATACCGTTTTCTCATGACTCTGTATCTCGCACATTTAAGCATAAAGCTCTATTCGTCCATTTTCACAAATTTGACACAGTCTATATTCTCTGTCTATTCTATTATTTCCATAACGCCCGGTTTCTATGCGTAAACAGTGCGCAGATGTTCTCATTCTTGTTATGAAAAGTCTATGTGATTTGTTCAACAAGTCTAAATAAGGTTCATATTCGAAATTCTCTTTAACATGTTTATATACCAATAATACAGGACTGGTTTGCTATCGATATCACTTCTCCATTCCTGAAGAATACAGTCAATCACTCTTTGTTTAAAACACGGAATCAAACTTTTACCGTCAATAATACTGTCCTGTATTTCCCAAAGATATCATATCCATAGCTTTCTAATAAAACTTTTAACTTATATGCCCAGTTCTTTTTACCATGAATAGCATCATTAAACAGCTCCTTATAAACGTTTTTAATGATACAATTATTGGAATTTAAAACTTTAATCCAGAACAAAACGATTTATATAAAGCGGATAGCGCCCTAGCTCTCCATAAACAGACACATTACTTACTGACATTTTAACATTAAGAAGTCTTTTACAAAACTTTAACTGCACTCGTTCAATTTCTTTAGCTTTTGAATTACCCCACACTTCTGCTGCATAACTTAATATAGATGTTACAAATGAGTCAAACAGCTGACATTGAACTTTAAGAGTAAAATCAAATTCACGGATATTATAGTTTAACAAATTCATAGCTTTCATTGCTTTACCAATTAACAATTGTTGATTACAGTTAAAATTACCATTTAAACCAAATACAGTTCCAAGATAATTAAATGTATCTACAATATCCAACGTTTTCCCGTTATACTCCCATTTCTCGGAAGACGGACAAAACCCCGACAGTTAAAATCCCACCACTCAAAATTTTATAGAGTGGACAAAACCCCACCACTAAATTTTATAGAGTGGACAAAACCCCACCACTAAATTTTACAGAGTGGACAAAACCCCACCACTTACCAATTATTGGGCAAGATTTGATGAATTGAAATATATATAATATATAGTACACATTTTCACATTTTATCTTTTAATTTCAATATAAAATTTGTGTAATATAAGAGATTATACAAATAATTTACAAACTGTTAAATCAACATCAAAGAGTAGTCATTTATTTGAGACTGTGTTACATTTATGACCTTGAATTATCCATTATTTTTAGTTTCTTCAAATTCATTTCTTCAATTTATTTATATAAAAAATAAACTACTAACTATTAATCAAGAATGTAGCACATATTCATCAATTAATGATTAAAAAATGGCACATTTTTATAGCACATTTCTAATTCATTCAGTTCAGTCAATTTTCCTTCATTGTACTTCATTGTACTTAGTTTAAGTGGATACTGTGGCTGATAGCCTGAAGAAACTCGGGTACAGTCTTCTCCTTATTGATGAGTTGTTCACACATTCTTTTGAGTTTCTGCTGATGCACAATTGTTTGTTTTTTAACATGTTTACAAAAAAGTTTTGTCCACTGAAGTGGTGGGGTTTTGTCCACTCTATAAAATTAAGTGGTGGGGTTTTGTCCACTCTATAAAATTTAGTGGTGGGGTTTTGTCCACTCTATAAAATTTTGAGTGGTGGGGTTTTAACTGGTGGGGTTTTGTCCTACATTCCCATTTCTCATCGTCTCTCAACGCACCTCTTCGTCTAAATACCATTATTTTAGTTTTCTCTTCATTAACCTTTAAACCCCAACGATCACAGTAAATTCGTAGATTGTCTAAATGTGACTGCAAACCCTGCACTGTTTCAGACAGTAGAATCATATCATCAGCGTATAAAAGCAATATAAGTGTCAAGTCTGCTATATTTACACTACTATCAATATTTGAACCTAAATACAATTCTAAATCTTCGATGAAAATTGACCACAGCAGAGGCGAACATATTTCTCTTTGCTTTAGATCGCTACTTCAATGAATTCAGAAAACGTATTACAGTAACGTACTTGACAAAGAAGTTATAAACTATACACTAAATTTATTAAGTGGAGAATATTCATTGAGTTACTTTTTAGACAGTTAAAGATAAAATGATAATTAACATTTTCACGGATTTATGTAATATAAATCCGTTACATTTTAACTACTTTAAGGATATGAAATAAATAAACAAATTAATTTGTCAAAAAAATTAACGTCTTCCGTCTGTTCTTAATTGTTATTTGAAATACACATTTACAATGTACATAAGGCATAATGCTGACAAAGGGAACGTGGGCTCACTTTTAGAATCTGTCCGCAGCAAAACCCTCGTTATCCTAAACCCTCTAAACCTAACACTTACCCAAACACTAACCCAAACACTAACCCAAACACTAACCCAAACCCCTAACCCTATCCATAGAAGTAATCAGAGTGATTTCGTAGAGAAACATAAATACTGAAGAAACAAGTACAAATGTTGCTGCAATGCAGCAA